GGCAGTTGCTGCAGCTCTTTGGTCACTAAATCAGAATCCACAAACTCAGAGGAGGTGGGAGCCCAGTGCTGGGAGATCAGAACATTGCAGCATCTGCCAGTGGAGGTGTGTGTGTTGTCCACCCAGCCAAGCTCCTTGGGTTACATTTGAAATTGTTCCTGGGGTCTGTGTGTGCAGAAGGAATCCACAGTATTCATTTGGTGTTCTGGGCTATAGCCATAAACCTTAAAAAATGATTACAAACTAAGTTTAAAAAAAAAACCCTTTTAAACAATCACACATAGGTGCATAGCAGCACAAAAATGGTATGAATTGTTCTTGTATGTGCTGGTTCCAGTTCCATCATCCTGAGTAGCATATGTAGTTTTAGGGGCTCCTAGAGGTCAGGGGAGGGACCAGAGCTGAACCAACTGTGTTGTGAGAAGGGAAGATGAAGAGATTAGTGATGCTGAAGATATAATCGGTGTGACTGTGAGGAAGTGTGACAAGAGACCATGAATTGTATGAAGATAAAGACAGAGACCCTTAGCTGACATTGCAGCAGCCAGAAGAAGACTCAGGAGAAGACAGGCAGTCAGTTTTGATCCCAAATGCATCAGTAGTTTTTGAAGCTGAAAGTTCATTGAACTGAAGGTACCCAACCAACCCTCTCTTCCTGAAAAATGGGTGTCTGTTGGTCACACACAGGTTGGAACACAGAGCTGGGGCCTTTACAAACCTAAAGCAATCTGGTGTGTGCAGCTTGAGGACTTCATGACCCAGACACCGTGTCCATGTGTTTGTGTCTAACAGCATCGTTGTGTGTGAGGGGTCTGTCTGTGTTTCTTTTGTCACCCAGTAACTGTGCACTGGGGGTGTCTTGTTGCCTGTAGGAGACAGAGCATTTGCTGTTTGACTGTTCTCTGGGGTGACAGCCCCTGTGGACAGCCAGTAGGTCTCATCCTGGCCATGACTGTCGTGTCCTTAGGATGAATCAAGTTGACTCTTGGGGATTTCAAAAGCTGCAGATGACTCAGGATGAAGAATTTTGGCCCTGGAAGGCACAGCAAAGTTACCCTGTGCTGAGAGAGCTGGCGGGTGGCCCTGGAGCTGTGTGCCCTGGGACCAAGCCCTGCCTCTCTAGAGCTCAGGGAGCATTTTTGGGGCATAAAACCAGCCTTCTGTCCCCAGCTCCCTCACTGGGGCACAAAGGTGTGAACCCCACGCTGTCCCCTCTGCAGGTGGCCCTCACTCAGCTGAGATGTTTGCCCTCTGTAATGACCCCAGCACAGGCTGGTTTCTGAGGCCCAGAGTGTTAACAGATCTCTCACTAATTCCTAGGTATATTGAGACCAAAATCAGAGACTTTTGTCATTAGGGAGTTCTTCTTAATGATAAATAGGAAGGAGTTCCTGCTTGCTGGGCTTTGTGTCCAGCTGTGATGACGTGAAGCGAGGTTCTGCTGACAGTGTGAACATCCTAATCTGTACTCCTCTCTTTGTCTCTTTCCAGGAGAAGCTCTGCCTACCACATCACATCCTAGAGGAGAAGGGCTTGGTCAAAGTGAGCATAACAGTTCAAGCCTTGCTAGACGTAACCACAGTGAAACAAGCTTTATTCACATGAAACTCCTCTGCTGTTCCCAGCTCCACTGTGCCACCAGAGAACCCAAACGCTGCCTGCCTTGCCAACTGCAGGGACAAAACCCCCACCAGAGCTCCAGCTCCTGTCCTGCTGATGTTAAAGCCACCACCTCTCAGGCTGCCCATGTGTTGAGCTCCACACCAGGAAGGAAGCAGGGACCTTCTCTGGAGCAGAGGGGCTCCCCATGGCTTCTCCAGCTCTCTGTGCAGCACTCACTGGAGCAGGCACCTCTCTGCCCTGCCCTGCAGCAAGACACCCTCCTCTTGTCACTCAGAATCCTTGTCACTTTTTGGGGTGGGGTGGGTAAATCAAGAGTCCATCAAGACTTTGACCACCTGAGGTTTTCCTGCAGTCGCTTCAGGCCGTTGCCTTTTCAAAAAGAAAATTATCCAGACCTAAAATATTTATATAAATATTATTTATTAGCGAGTTGTTATTCATCCTTTGGATGCAAAAAAAAAAAAAAATGTAAATTAGGAAACTGTATTTTATTACTGCTTTTTTTGTGGTTTAAACACTTTATTTTAATATAAATATTTAGTTATTTTTTATTCGACTTGGTGTGCAGTAGCTCTAGGCCTCCTGAAATTCTATTTTCTGATATGTAAGATAAAAAGCAAACAAAATAGGTGCTTTTATTAAAACAGCTAGCTGGAAATTCTTCATTTCTTAAATTTGCAGAAAATTGGTAAAAAATCTGTCTGCATTCCATTGCTTCCTACATTCCAGTAGCACTATTCCCCCCCCCCTCAGACTAAATTGGCTGAAACTAAGAGCACACCCATTTTATTTGTATATAGATGTTTAAAAAAAAAAAAATTAAAAAAGGAAAAAAAAAAAAAGGGAAGGTGTAAACTTGAAAAACAAATGTGAACAAATATTTTTGATTGCTTCTTTCACTATGCACAAGACATTTAACTTTTGCCACGACGTTAGGATCATGTGTCTTGAAGTCTAATTTTGCACTGTCACTTGATTGAAGATTACAGCACTACAGAAACAGATAATAGGAAAAAAAAAAACAGCACGAGAACGTTGATGAGATTCACCAGGTAGCCAAAATTTTCTAATTGTTCAGTGATTCCTTCAAGAGGAGATAAAATTATGACAGTTGCCCAGAGGCCAGTCTTAGACTTGATGTTCCGGAGCCTCCTCGTAGCCTCCATCATTCCTCATGGAATGAAGCACAATGTTCTGCAGGGAGAGCTCGCAGGATCCCACCTCTGATCCCCCTCAGCAGCAGGAAACAAGGTCCTTTTTCTTTCTGCTACTCTGTGGTTTTAGGAGAGATTTTTAGAAGCTTAATTTATTATTAAAACATCACCTATTTTAGGGCAGGAAGTCCCGGCAGAGCGATTCTCACGGTGCTGTGACTTGGCAAGTGGGGCGGGAGAGCTGCACGTGGTGAGTGAGGGCTGCCTGGAGGGGGCCAGGGGGGCACAGGGGTGGGAGAAGAGGGGGGAGGACTCCACGGTTGAGCAGGAGAAGTGGAAGGAAGTGTTGTGTGAAGGCTTTTTGGAGGGATGGTGCCTCCTCGTGGCTGCTGCGTCTATCTGGGCGAGGTTACACCCCTAGACCCATGGAATCATTGAGGTTGGGGAACACCTTTAAGGTTTGTTGAAGTTGGGAGGAGCAGAGTGGACCCCAGATGGTGAATGGGACAGGCAGGATGCCCAAAATATCCAGTTCCTTCAACCAAAGCCTTTCTGTCAGAGGGGCAACGTCGACTCCAGTTGGGATTCTGATTGGCAGCTAGCGGATTGTTTCCTACAAAATGTACTGTGCACTTTAACACTAAATTAAAATGTATTTTAATATTTTACAGAGCTGCACAAATTCTCTGTTTTGTCAAAAAGCACGAGCAATGTAAAGGAAATAGGTTTTCAAGTCAGAGTTTATCAAATTTTAAAAGCATTCGAAGATGGGAGTGTAAAAATAGGAATATTGATTGCTGCATCTTGAGGGATAAAATGCAGGTTTCCTGAGTATTTTTTTACAATGTATATATGGCAACATGAAGCTTTGTAATTATTATTTTGACAAATCTTGGGGTTTTTTTTCATAATTAAAACTTTTTGGTTTTTTTTTTTTTTCCTCCTGATAGTGTCTTTCAGTATCTGCTTGAAGTTGGCTGTAAATAAAGAGCTCTAAATATTTTGTAATACAGCTTTTTTTATGCAGTCTTAACCTGTACGGCTGAAAAAAAAACCCCAGAGAATCTTCAAGAATATTTGTACACTATTTCTATGTGCAATAAAAACGTGCATGGCAGATCTATAATACCCCAAAGCAGTGAACATAATGTATATAGGAAATCTTTAATGTAGTTACAATTAAACTATATTATTTGTAGAAAGCCTTTGATGACTATCCCCGTGACTGACAGTTTCTGTTGATGATGTTGGGAGAGCCCCATGCTGGGAATGAGGGACGAGGGTTTGGGGATGGAGAAGAGGAGGATGTGGTGCAAATAAAGGGATTTTGCAGCTGAACTGGACCAGGATCCAGCTGGGAATTGTTGGGGGTTGGTTCCTGCAGCTTTGCTCCTCCTCTGGCTGCATTTGTACACATTAAACGAGCCTTTGAGCCAATTTTGCTGGAAAACTCCTCTAAATGTTCAGCACTCGTGGTGTGAAATCTTCAGAAAGAAGTTGGTGTCTGTTGTAAATCCAGTGTGGAAAACTTTCAGCATCCCAGAGGACTCCTGCAGCACACACAGTCCTGTCTGCCCAACGAGGCTCCTGCCAGCATGAAACCCCTGGGAAATGTTTTACATCTACAAGTGTCAAATGAACACGCTGGCTTTCAACAGGGAGGTTCCAGATCAGCATTGCTTTTGTCAGCTCTGTACATCAGTTTTCTCTTTAGCCCTGTTAGGTCTCAGAAACCCAGCACAGACCCTCCAGCAGCAACCAAAGGCAAGTGGAGGGGAAAAAAACCACCCTCCTCTGCTGCAGCCTGCCTCCTTCCTGTGGTGTGAGACATCTCTGCTCTAAGAATCCCCATGGAACCCTCTGCAGGTTATGTTTGCTGTTGGTAAGAGAGGCAGCCTGCTGCTGACCCTCCTCTCTCTGTGGCTGAGCTCTCAAGGACACATCCACGTCCCTGCTCTGGA